TCAGCTTTGCGTCCTCTAAATGTGCAAGCGTCCTGAATAACTGAGAGCCGGGAGCTCCGGCGCGGAGATTGGTTGGCAGCTCGTGTTTTGGAATTGGATTTTCATGTCTCATCTACGCCTTAGTCTTTTGATGAGCTTGGTGAGGCCCTCATGTCTCAGACCTCAGAGACACCCTCCACCGCCTGGCCCTCCTAGGCAGATGTGGAGCTGGAGACTGTCTCTGCCCTGGGATCAGCACAGCGTTGGGTGAGGGGAATGGGATGTTTTTGAAGGGGCAAAGAGGACAGACTTTGTGACCACCTTGCTTTGCTAGTGGATATGGACCTGCTGTGGCCCAAGCACCTTTCACCTGAGAAGAGGCCTCCTGCCTGTCATTCGCTAGTCTGTCACGTGCTGATTTGGAGCTACAAGAGCTCAGATGCCTTGGTTGTCTTGCTCCTGATTGAGAATAGTGGTGTCGGCATCAGAGAAGGGTGAATTTGCAGGAGGGATGCCAACGTGCATTACCTTGCTCCAATCTCTGAGCCCATGGTTAAGCTGGGGCTCAACCATGAGGCACTGAGGGTACAGACTGAGGCTTGGACAAGATGTCTTGCATCATTGCAGACTAACTTTGTGCCGGGRAAGTGATCTTCGGTCACCTGCTAGGAGACAAAGATTTTTCATTCCCATCAGTAAATGAGAAACAACAGGGCATTTCTGTCTCAGATCAGAGTGGGAGATGTTCTTTACCTCTCGTTTCCCAGCTGCCTACTCTGGCCCGGTCATGACAATGTTCAGGGTGGCCGCGATGTATTCCCGCCAGCTCTTGGAAACCTCCTATGCTGGAGATTCCTTAACCTCTCTGGTGGCAGCATCCTATTAGGAATTCCATCTCCAGCCTCCCAAGTCATAATTTATATTTTGAARAGGTCTTTGCCTCCACTCACCCTTCTCACCCGTGGGATTAGATGCATCTTGCTTAGCTGGGCGTTGCYGAAAGCAATATTTTCCCTTTGTTCCCATTGGCTCTCTCTTTCAGGAAGCTGTTTTTTGCTTGAAGCAGTCAGATTCAGGGCTGAAACTCTGTTTTTTGTTTGTTTGTTTGTTGTGAGGGTTGTTGTTTTCTTCTTCCCATGCCAAAAACGATGATGGTCTGGGCAAAACACTGCTGTGAGAGCAGCGATCCTGTTTGGCCACGGTTCCTAGTTGGACCCTACCCCAGAGGCCTAGGAAATGAAACCCCTAGGAGGAGATGGGAGAGAAGCTAAGCCACACGTTGACTCGTCTTCAAGGCACAGCACGTTCCTGCTGGACATAACCCATGAAGTTCTGCAAACATACCTTGCAGTAGTAATGCTAAAGGAAACACCAGGGCATTTCAGACATTCTCTTTCATTGCACTCGTAGTTTGCATCCATAGCTTCAAAAAGAAGACCTCTGAAATCTTTACAACTGATGCTATTACTTTCTCTCAGTGGAATAATTTGGGAAAAAGAAAGGAGGAATTCTTGGAGAGCTCTAGGAGAGCATGCTCTTCATGGTGGGGGAAGCATCCTGCTACGTTCCTGTTGACTCCAGTGCTGTTTAATAGCTGTTTCCCCGTGAAATCAGAGCAATTGCTGGCTGCAAAGTAGAAATGATACGTGCTAAATGCTGCGCTAATGGATTGCACTCAGGAAAAATGTCTTGGGATGGTGAATTTTTCATAAAAAGCCTTTGGGAGCGTGGCTGGCCAAGTGGAAACCTGCCGCTTGGAAGCAGGATCTGCACTGGCAGAGGAGGGCTGGATGCCGCGCTCAGTGCTTTGGTGCTCRGGGATGGATGAGTCACTCCAAGAGGATGTTTTTTTCCAGAGGTAACTAGGGCTTTTTGGGCTGTTTAGGGATGATCCAGCATCATGAGATCTCTGTGGAGGGGTTCCCAGCAGGTGTAGAGATCTCGCTGCAGCGCGTGTCTGCAAGGGCTGCAAACTGGCTGGTGTTGGAAGAGTATTTAAGTGGGTCATTCCTGCTTTATTTGGGGCAGTATTTCTCATGAGAGCTCTGTGTGCCGCAAGTACAAATTCTGGAGGGGTGATAGAAAGTGCTGGAGAATGGGTTGGTTGCACCTGGGGCAATAGGATGCTCTGCTTTCTTGCACCAAAAATGCGTCTGCAGGGAGCTGAATCCCGCTCAGAAAGTGTGGTCCATGGATATGTTACAGGAGATGCTATCCTGGAAATCTTCYGCTGTGAAAAGAGTGAGTCGGGATGCTGCAAATGCACTTCCCTGCCTTAAATTTGCTCACCAAAAATCCTGTATGATGAGCAAGGAGATATCAGCCTGGGATACTGTATCCGTTCCTGGTGTGTGCATTGGGGAGCGAATGCAAACGGGAGAAGAAAAAGAGAGAAAAAGCCATAGTCACAGCTCAAGGTATCGGAAAAACCGCCTGTTGAGCAGCCTGGCCTGAAAATKAGGATCTTCTCCAGGGCTGGTGTGGAGGGAAGGTTTTTGATGGCGAAAGGCTCCTTCGTTTAGCAGGGCTGGGAAGCGGGGCTCAATCGGCCCGGTGAAAGGAGCGTGTTTTTAATGACGTGCCTAATGAACTGTGCAGCAGCTCGTGCGGCTGTGCTCGATGTGCTGGTGCTCGCGAGCTGCAGATCAAAGCGGGGCGATTCCTCGTAAACCTGGTGTCGACCCCCCGGGCTCTTCCCTCCTGCGAATACATCTTCACTCRCAGCCACGCGCGCCTGGCAGGTTTGCTGGGATGCTCCGAGCCGGCAGTTTTCCGGATGCTGCGGGGTGCGTCTGCAATGCAAAATTTCCCCACTTTTGGACAAAACTGGGAACTTGGCTGAGCTGCTGGAGCTGGGCAGTTAGTGCAATGCAGGGACATTTTGGTGGTAACCAAACTGGGGTCTGTGTTTGGCTTGAGGGACCCTCGTATTGGGCAAGTGTGCAGCGTTTGGAGGGGAAAAGCGAGCGTGTCTAATCCTGCAAGGCCTCAAGGAGTCCAGGATGGGCATCGAGGAGTCTCCCCTTGTGCTCTTACTTGCTCGCTTCCCTGCAGAAAGCAGTTTGCAGCATCAAGGCTCCAGATGTTCCCAGTGAACAACGGGGGTGAGTTACAGCAAGAGGGACTTGCTTCCTCGTGCATTTTTTCCCCAACACATGTTGTTTTATCAAGTCTTCTTGGTGCTAGGTAGGGAATTTGGGAGCAGGAATCCACCCGCTGCGAGCAAGTGAGAAGCTGGCTAGGCCACGGAGTCGGACATGGCTTGAAGAAGGAAAAGCATCACAAGATCTCTGCCTTTCTTCCACATTTTTTTTTTTTTTTTACACGCAAGCCTCCCTGTGAACCGGCCCTTTGATTTTAGTGGCTTTTGATGAAGTTCAAAAATTCCCCCTCATTTTTTTTTAATTTCCCCCTCCTTTACGTTTACTGGCAGTAGGTTTTTCATTGATGCAATAACTTCCTCTAGCGACTGTCTGGGTTTCATAGCTCCTAATTTACCACTGCMAACTCGCCCCCCTTTTCTTAATTTATACAATATGTTTATTTTCCCTGCTTTTTTTTTCTCTTTTATGCAAAGCCAAGGCAATTTTTAACTGAAGATGCCTCCTTTTATGATTGCAGATTTCCAAGATTTTTGGCAACACCCTCTTATGCCAGCTCTAATTACTTCTCATTGTGTTTGTTTATGTTTCCCCCCTAATCAATTTTGGCTAATAATCCCCCTCCCCTTTGGGCAATTGCCCCCTTTTACACCCGCATGGTTTGTATTGGTGGGGGCTGAAATCTGGTTTCCCCATCTGTGTCACCAGAGTGTGTTTGTTTGTACCTACACAACTGCTCATCTTTGGCTCATTGATCTCATTGAGCTATACTCTGTGCTTACCCTACAGGTTGTTGCATTTTGATGTTGGGAATTAGTCTCCACAAGCATTAGGATCAGCAGGAATAGTTTCTGGGGTGGCTGGAGAGCCCAGCGTGTCTCTTCTGTCTCCATGCTGATGGTCCCTGCTTGTGTTGGGTTGATGTTGCACGAAGGTCCTTGGCTTCTTCTCCAGCTGGTCTGGACAGAATCCTTGGGAAGGGGCTGTAGGTGGGCATGCTTGAGGTCTAGAGTCACCCTAGTCTGAGTGACCCTGCTTGAGCAGAGGCGTTGGGCTAGGTGGTCTCCAGAGGTCCTGTCCCACCTCAAYGCTTTGGATGATCTGCAGTCTGCAGATAGTAGTGGTTGTTGTGGTCCTCCTAAACACTTTGGGTCAGGGTCAGCTTGATGAGGGGGTTGCCAACCCTCATCCCAGCCACCTGGGTTTCCTGACACGGGGGATTTGCACCCAGGCCGTGGTGAAAACGGTGCTGCAGTTCAGGATACCTGTGCTTTCACTCCGGCTTTGCATTCACCGCTATGAATCAGACCTGTGCTGGTCCAGCTGGAGAAGCCAAGCAGCTAGAGGTGCCTCCTTGTGTCGGCASGTCCCATCAGCATGCCTGGTGAGCGCCTGCAGCACTGGTTAACCCCCTCAAGCACCCAGGACCTGGGTTGGTGTYCCCGCAGGGTGGAAGGGATCCGTATCCCATGTTTCCTGCTGCTCCTGGAGCAGGATCCAGCTCCTCTGCCAGGCCAGCGATGCAAGCGAGCGCCTCTTGGTTCAGCCTGCTGCGTGAGTGTGCAGCGAATGACCCGTGCATGAAAGAGGAAGCCCTCCCCGCAGCGAAGCCTCAGAGAAAGAGTTTCCCCAAGGGAGGAAACATTTGCAGCTCACTAAAAATACCCACCACCCAGCAGCTGTCGTCTCCACCGTCGCTTTCGCTCCTTCCCAGGAGTTACTAGGAGGCCAGGACGGGTCTGGAGCCTGGGCAAGGGCAGCCGCAGGGCTCGGGGTCCCTCTCCACGTGCCCAAAGCTTCCCGCAGAGGAYGAGCCTGCAGCTGGCTCGGCAGCTCCTCTGAAGGCGTTCCCGCTTGGAGCTGCCAACCAGAAGCAAATTTACAGCCCGTCAGTCAAAACCGAGAAAGAAAGGCAGAAGACTTGGCTGTCAGGTAGGCACGCAGAGCCAAACGCGGATGTTGGAGGAGCGAGGTGGGGGTGCCTCTGTCGGCCCGGCTGCAGCCGCCCGGGGCAGGGGAGAAGGTCGCTTCTGTGGTGGGAACGTGTCCCGTTTTGGTAGCAGGGACGGTCGTGCCCAGCGAACGGAGGCGCTGGGTTTGCAGCGCGCTGGTGCTCTGCGTGGCCGCGGCACTTTGCAAGAGTGCAGTGCTGTGCGCTGCCTGCAAGAAGGCAGCTGGGTTCACCATGTGCCCTGAGCACCCCGACACCCCAGGGACGGGCCCGGGTTGGTCCTCGAGGCTCTTTGGGTGCTCCAGCCCGGCTCTGCTGCCCTCAGCGTGCCAGTGCAGGGACGTGGGGCTTTGCTGCTGCTTGGGCTGCGTTTGCACATCGTCTCCTTCCTCTGTAAACTTTATTACCACGTGTATATTCCGGGAGGGAGGAATCACCATCTGCATTTTCCAATAAAAGAGATTAAAATGGGAGCCCCTTAAGGCCGGCTCTGTCGGGATGTCGATTGGAGCGTGCCGGGAGCACGTTGCCTCCGTGCTGCCCCRCTGCGCGGGGTGGCGAAGCCTCGTGCCGTGGCATCCTGTCCCTGCCTGTGCTGGCTCCGTGCACTGGAAGGATGGAGACCAGCGGGGACCCTGGGGAGCCCTCCCCAAGGCAGCTAAATGACAAGCGGCTGCGTAGGGAGGCGGCCACGGCATCCARTTCCTCAGCTTGCAGCTCCGATTGCTCAATTAGGACTGGAAGTTCTGCTCTTGATCCTGCACGTTGATCCAGGCGAGCGTGTTGGCTGGCTCCTGGATGATGCCAGTGCTGGACATCATCTTTTCCCTCCACTCTCCAGCCACATGGACCTAATTCGGTAGGGAAAAGTGTTGCAAGACCAAGGTTTAGTCCTTGCCTMCCATAGAGCACTGGGACCATGTGGGTGAGGTGGCTTTTTGGTGGGGACTGCAGGATGTGAGTGGTCCCTATCTTCGATGTGTCACTGCCTCTCCTCACTCCCCATCAATCTCTGACCCCCTTGGAGCTTAAGTGTGTCCCTGAGCGCAGTATCCCAAATATCCCGCAGTATCCCAAATACTGGGAAGTGCAAGCACAGTGCCCAGACCTTCTGCTCTTCTGGTCCCTTCACATTTGTCTCCCCTGTCCCTCTCTGTGCCCCATCCTGGGCATCCCATGTTCATGTCCTGGATCTCTCCAGGTACCTCTGGAATCCCAAAATTGCCACCAAGGACAAATGTCTACAGCTGAGACCCCTCAAACTCATTTCACTTATGGTTCAATAGCAAGAAACTCATATCTCACCTATCTCCCCGCCGTCCAGCTAGGAGATCTACCCAAGAGATGTGGGATCTACCCAAGACATCATCTGATGTGGAGCAAAGCCACTACCATCTTGGAAACCGACCCAAACCTTCTGCAGTCACTGAAGGCTGAACATTCAGAAAGTTTTAAATATTATTTTTCTTGGTAATATTTGTATCATTCTAGACTATTGCTTCTTTGACGTTACAGTCATTGCTATTAATATACTCCCTATGCCCCACTGTCACTGGAAGTTAAGAGAAAGTAACAATTTCAAGGAATTTTAAAAGCAATTAAATGCAGCTTCCAGCCTGAAATGTGTGAAAAATCTTATTTTCCTTTTAGATCAAAGTGTCTCCAGGGCTTTAATGAAAAAGACAGAAGCTGAGACAATAAACACCATTATTGAGCTGGGGAAGCAAATATCCATTTTATAAAGAAATTTCATAAATCTGAAATAGTTCTGGACTAGCCGTTTTCCAGAACTCTCCTTAGTGGGGAAAAATTGAAGAGAACTATTTTTGCCTTTTGTTTCTGGAAGGAGCCCAAATTTTGAAATGCTGGTTTCCTGTGAACTGGAAACCTCTGGCTCCGAGCGGGAGCAATGAGCAACCGCCAGCCTGAAAATGATTTACTGCCAGAAGTAGGTGTGAGGAGCAGATCTGTGGAGAGGCGATTTTTGGCTCGCCGATGGGAAAGTGGAGCTCACGTGTCTCGCGTGCTCTTCGGCAGGTTGAACAACAACCRTTTCTGTGTCCAGGCGGGCAGCCTTGGCTCCGAAAGGCAGAGATTTGCTCACGTAGATCCGTTCTTGCTTGGCTTTGATGGTGAACGTGGAGGAGGTTGAGATGTTTTCCGGGATTCGTGGCAGAACGCTTGGTGGTTGGCATGGTGAGGAGGAGCAGTTGGATGTGGCATCCTTCCAGCCATGGCCGTTTCCTCTCCATCCCCGCTTTGACCTGCTTGGTGGGTCCACAGTGCGGTGGCTGAAGTTCTGGACTTCTTAGAGGCTCTCCTGGTTCAGCTTGCAGTGAGGGACCTAGTGACGGGTGGTATCACTAGGACCCTTCAACCTTTTTACGTCCAGCTACCCTGGTCCTGGCAATGACTTTGTCTTCCTGCAAGAGCCATTACCCAGGTTGGAGCCATGTGGCTCTACGAGAGATGGTAGCCCAAGTGCAGAATCCCTCCCGTAGCTGCACCTACTTGTAATTCCCTGCCTTCCCTGTGCATCCCTTGCTCTCTTCCCTCTCTGCAAAGATCAGAGGTGAGACAAGATGCTGCGAGTGCATTTTGTGTCTGCCAAGGATGAAAGAAGCCTTGCTACGTCCTGCCGAAACAGGGATGTTTATCAGCACAACTCAAGCTGAAGCAGCAAAGGTCAGGGTGGCATTTAGGGCTTTGGCCAGGCTGCTGAGCACTCGATGCTGCCTCCCATGACATGGTGATCTGGCTGCCCCAGGCTCCAAGGCAGCAACGGATGCAATGGGTGCTTTGGAGCCTCTCTGCAGATGCAGTCRGCCTCCTCAATGTAGGACCTCCAAATCTAGTGCCAGTTCTCACTGAGCACGGAGTYGTCATATCTGCTGCAGGCATCATCTCGGTCGTGGCTCCCGAATGGCTTGGGGAGCTCTACCCAGTGTCATCTCTCCTGCAAGCTTAGCACTTTTCCCAAGCACAGTGTGGAGCTTTTGCTCTGGGCTTTCTAACCCACRTCTCCTGAACCTTTGGACCACGTTGTTTGATTTTGTCCGATTTTATCAAAGCARCAATTGCGGGCAAGGTGCAGAAAATCACAGTTCTGCCTAAGCGCACAGTGCTCCCATCCACACCTGGAGCTTGGTTTTCTGGTAGAAAGCAGAATTATTCTGACAGCTCCGTCTTTTGTGTTTTGAGGGTAATGTTTTGGGAAGCTCGTGACTTGGCAATGTCGGGTTATTTGTATGTACAGACAAAGGCATCTCCTTGCCGTGTCTCAGCTCCCACGTCCTGGCCATCCATGGAAGATGCTGTCACATGTGTCTTCACAATACCAGGTGGCCTTTGGTTGGGGGCCACCTGAACATAGTAGCTGTTGCCCAGGTTGCCACCTTGACTCTTTGTTTCACTTCTTGCAGAGACCTTGATGGACTCCACAACGGCGACAGCAGAGCTGGGCTGGACGGTGCATCCTCCCTCCGGGGTGAGCTATCCTTACGTGAATTATCCTAATTATCTCATAAAGTTAGCTCATTATCTGGGATGAGCTAACTTTAYGCCGAGTCAGTGGCCAGAGGGTCTCTGAGCAAGCGAGCATGTTGATTGCCCAACAGAATCCATCCAAAGGGCTTTGTCCGTGTCAAAGTAGGTGATGGAAAGAACATAGAAATGTATATGATGGAGATTTCCAGTAGTTTTTCTAGGTGATATGTCAAAAATTCTCACCGAGCGGTGTCAGGGCAGTGTGTTTCTCTGTCTGCCCCAATCCTGTCACTTAGCCCATGGCCCATGTTGCAGAGAAGACCCAGAGCAGTGGCCTTCAAGGCTGCAAAAGCAGCGGCYGCTTGACTGGAGCACCTCCCCGCTCCAGAGCGCTTTGTAGCGCAACAGCTCCGCGGAAAACCAGCTCCATCCCMGGGAACAGACCCCACCAGAGAGGTGACACGAGCCAGCAGCCATCCCACTACCACCACCATCATCATCRTCATGAGAAAAACTCCACTCTCGCTTCGGCGCATGGGTGGGGGCACCGTCCTGCCCAAAGGGAATGACGGATGCACAATAGGCAGGAGCAGAGGTCAAGTCTTCTTTCTCTCCTCGCCCAGCCTCGCTTGTTTGCGGGTTTTTCCATATGTAAAGCCAGCCTTGCTCCCAGCTCTCCCAGCCCCGCTGTAATGAGGCYGGGGCCTGCTGGAAGCCGTCTCTCCGTATTATTGTGCTGCTGCCTTCTTTTGAGGCCCCGGCATGTTAATTAGAGAGCAAGGAGAAAGGGAGAGGCTCCTAATTAAGCGCCGAGGACGCGCAGGGGCTGCGGCACGGCGGTGACTTTCTCTCCCAGCAGAGAAAAGGGAGCTTTGGAGTGGGGCATTCAAGGGATTAGCTCAGCCGGCGGTGCCAGCCGCTCAGAAGCCACCCGGCAAAAGGCCCGGATGCTGCCGCAGGAGGTCACCGGCTGCTTGTCCCCCCCGGCATCGGACATCCCGAGTGAGCGGGGAGGAGCGCGGCCAGCAAGAGCATCCCTGGGGGGGCAGCTTCCCGATGTGCGGGGTAGGAGATGTCACATCCACCAGCCTGCATGATGCCATGGACTCGTCTGTGCCCCTCGCGCTCCTCCTGCCCGGCTGCTGCTGAGCACGGTAGACTCGTTTCTTAAGTACTTCCCATCAGGATGGGGGACAGGACGGGTGCTGGGCACGGGCTGCCGTCCATCCTGTCCAACGGGTGAAGATGGCAAGAAAAAGCCACACTGGTGGCAGGGCAGAGAGACCAACTGTTTGCCCATGTTTTGTCCTCAGTTATTCCATCCTGCCCCCAAAATCCTGCAGAGATGCTCCTGTAATTTCCCACCAGTGTGACAGATTTCCCTGTGTGGAATAAAGCAACTCCCTGTTCAGCTCCCGCTGCATTTTCAGAGGTGCTCTGGTCCTCTTTCAGCATCAGGAACTGTTTGGGGATCTTCGCCGACTGCCTTGATGTGCAAAGAGCGATCTGGGCCTTCATCTCGGGCCCTGCCAAGGCTCCCTGCAAGCCGAGGCTGAGGCCAGGGCTTCACTTGCAGCAAATTTGGGCTAAAAGTCCGGGAATTGACCCCGGCTCCAGCACGAGGAGCAGTGGCTCTTGTTTGGCTTCCACTTGAGCAGAATTGTGAACAAGTTCATAAAAACAACAACAAAGGAAAATAAAAGAAGGGAAAGAAAAGCTGTTCCAGCTGGCTGGGATGGTGTCACATGCCAAGCAGCCCCGAATCCCTTCCATCTGTGCCRTGCAGAGCAGGACATGTTGCTCATCAGTGTCACAAGGGCATCAGGTCTCTGCCCTGCTTGTCCAGCATTGCTGGTTCCAGGGCGTTTCTGGGAAGCTTATCCGGGTATTGAGAGGAACTGAGAAAACTCTCAAAAACCTGGTGTTCAGGAAGGGCCACCATTGACTGGTCGTGCCGTCCTGATGCGCTTGTGCCCGCAGCACTGCCTTTAGAGTGGCTGAAATACAGGGACATGCTGGTCAGGATCACCACGGGAATGAAATAGCTCCCAGGCAAAGGTAAGAGACTTGCTGGGCTAGTGCAGGTGGTAAATTTGGGAAAAGGAAGGATTGGGAGAAGCGTTCCCCTCTGCAGCACCCGGCTCCCACTGGCTCCCTTGCTGCAGGGAGCCGCCTTGGAGAGGGGCTTTGCCAGCACTTTGCGTGGAGGTGGGAGCTGCATCCTGCAAGGAGGTTTTGGAGGCACGCTAGGAGTTCCTGAGAAAGCAGCTTGCGTCTGCCACACTCATAACCGTAGTGGCACCAGCGGGAATACATCTGCTAAAGGCATTGCGCTGCTTTGCAGCGAGGCTCTGCGGTTAAGAGGCCTCTGCAGCGGAGCAGAGAGCCCCTGCTAAAGACATTAGTGCCTGCAGATGAAATGCGTGCCCTGCTCCGCCGGGTGTCACGAGTTTTACCACTCTTTTGGGCAGCAAGGATGGGGCTACATGGAAAAATGTTGACAGGGACCACCCTGAGGGCTAGCCAGGGCTGGTCATACTGGGCTGGCATGCACTTTGGGTCAAACTTTGCGGGATCAGGATGGAGCCACGTGAGTGTGGACGTTTGGAGGGGTGTTCGGTGTTCATGCTAGGCAAAGCGTTGAGTACCAGTGGGGCTGAACCCATGCTACGTGCCAGTGCGGACCTAGTATGGCACAGTTTGTGCTGGTGCAACCTGTTGGCTTGGCATGCAACAGGGTTGGGAGGCAGCAGGGCGGATGGGGACCTCCCTCGCACATCCTCCTGGGAATGTCAGTGCAGTACTGCCCGGTGACTTTGTGTGTCTCCTCTGCAGTGGGAAGAAGTGAGTGGGTACGACGAGAACATGAACACGATCCGCACCTACCAGGTGTGCAACGTCTTTGAATCCAGCCAAAACAACTGGCTCCGGACCAAGTACATCCGGAGACGGGGTGCCCACCGCATCCACGTGGAGATGAAATTTTCCGTTCGGGACTGCAGCAGTATCCCTAACGTGCCAGGCTCGTGTAAGGAGACRTTTAATCTCTACTACTACGAGTCAGACTTTGACTCGGCCACCAAGACCTTTCCCAACTGGATGGAGAACCCTTGGATGAAGGTAGACACTATTGCTGCTGACGAGAGCTTCTCGCAGGTGGACCTAGGCGGGCGAGTGATGAAGATTAACACCGAAGTGCGCAGTTTTGGGCCTGTTTCCAAGAATGGTTTCTACCTGGCCTTCCAGGACTACGGAGGCTGCATGTCCTTGATCGCGGTGCGTGTCTTCTACCGCAAGTGCCCCCGTGTCATCCAGAACGGGGCTGTTTTCCAGGAGACCCTCTCCGGGGCAGAGAGCACCTCCCTGGTGGCAGCCCGGGGCACGTGCATAGCCAACGCTGAGGAGGTGGACGTGCCCATCAAGCTCTACTGCAACGGGGACGGCGAGTGGCTGGTGCCCATCGGACGCTGCATGTGCAGGGCGGGCTACGAGTCGGTGGAGAACGGGACCGTCTGCAGAGGTAAATCCTTGTGCTTCTTATTCTGCGTGGTGGGCTGGTCTGCTGCGGCACGTGGAGGGGGTGCCAAGGAGGTCTSGGTTGCGTGGGCAGTGCTGTGTCCTGACCCTGGGCTGGCAGGATGGCCTGTCCCCRGCGCTGGACTGGCGATGAGAGGAAGAGGCTGTGGCCCTGCTTCCTGACACAAGAGGAGAGGTGGAGCGGGGCCTGGGTGATGTGGGCACTGCTCCATGTGGCTAGTTGTTATTTGCTGCTGTAATCTGCATCATCAAGCTGAGAGTGACGTGGTGAGGCAGGGGTGGAGCAGGAGGGAGAGCAGTCCTGGAGAGCGCGCGGGGAGCGTGTGGCATGAGCAGCTCCAGTGTGTGCACAGACGCGTGCTTCCTCCACAGCCTTCCTCTGCACCTCAGGAGGTGATGGCCAGGCCTGGTCTCTCATTGCAGACRCTCTTTCCTACCTTCGAGTCCTCTGAACTGCTCTATCTGAGTTGAGTGCAGGTCTTCTCATGCCCTCCACGCCCTCCMGGAGGGGCGACGGGTGGCCGCGCTGTGGTTTTTTGTTGTTGCTCTGCCGCTGCAAGCAGAGGCATTTGGTGAGCAAAATCCTTCCTCTTCTTCATCCTGGCTGAGCAGGAAAATCACTTTAGGCTCAACAGGATGCCCTGAAGTTGAGGGATGGACTGGAAGCAGCTGGCGTGACTGTAGAACCTGGATGCCGTGTYCTTTGTCCTAGAGCATCCTCCTCTCCCAAGTCCCCAGTCCTCTGCGGAATAAGGMCTTGGACAAGGATGGGTGTTACTGGAGACAGCTGAAAGTGTCTTGCTGGTGGCTGACCATTCCTGATGTGCAGGGACATTATTTCATATCCTTTCTTTGACCCAGCTCACGGGAGTAGCGAACAGCCTCAGGAATGCAGCTCTGGGTGGTGGGAACATGGAATTTTTCAAATYGCAGAGGGTGTAAGGTTGGCTCCCTTCCAAATGGGAAAGCCGAGGATGCATAGGGAGATTCGCCAGGTCTGTCCGCCCTAGTGTCCTTCTTCCTGATTAGATGATCTGGGGTAAAAGTTCTGCTGCAACCCAAAGCGAAGAGATGACCCCGGCGTTACAGCTGGACATCTTCCAGTGCCCAAGCAAAGCATTTACTGCAATACAAGGAAACCAAAACTGACTTATTTAACACTGGTCCCCCTGCCAGTCTAGCTGAGGCACAGTCCCGGTGGGATCTTGCATGATCCGTGCCACCCAAGACCTCCTCACAGAGCCTCTGCATCACTGGGGCCAGCAGGGAAAGCAACAGGAGCAGGAAAAGGGGTGGAGGTGGAAGGGGCAAGCGGGCTTTGGGGAGGTTGGGTGCTCGGCAGCTGTTTCTGCAGCCGGCGCTCATGCACACGCACAGGGCTTGGTGCTCCCCACCATCCTCAACCACCTGGTGGCCTGCAGCCAGCTGGTCTGCCGGGGACCAAGCCAGACCAAGGAGCATCCTCTGGTTTCCTCCATCAGAGAGAGGAGAGGAGAGGAGAGGAGAGGAGAGGAGAGGAGAGG